TGGTGTCTGTTGGAAATTACTCAAGATATTTACTCATTTTCTCAGTAAAAGAAAGTATTAATCGATTTGTCCACTGGCAGGAAGAAGGGAGTCCCCCTTGCTCTTTGGTTACAACTTTCCCCTAGAACAATTACCCATCAATTGCTCACTACCCAAGCTGGGTTCCGTATCAGAATTTTGAGTTTTTACTTTATATGACAATTGAAGTCAATAGACTTTCATACAGAGACATTTTTCTATTCTATCTGCAAACACATTTTAATAAATAATTGGTGAGATGGGGAGATTTGCAGCATGCTGTACATTTACTGGCAGCACTGTATTTGTAGAAGTTATACTAGATACTGAAACACATTATATTGTCTTTGGTTTTTGACTGATGGGTTTTTGTCCTCCAGTGGACTGATGAGAATGAGAAAGTGATTAAATTCCAAGCTGTAATAAAAAATAATGTACCTAACTGGGACTTAGTCATTAGGGAAATTCTAGTCCATTTTCACTAGAATATGAAAATAAAACTGAAAACTCAAACAGGCAACTTTAATTGCCCTAAAAGATACTAGCAAAGTTAGGATATGTTACCTTAATTTAAGACACTTTTAATTTTTTTTTTTTAGAACAAACCATTATTTAAGAGATTCATCTAAGAAATCATTATGAAATACTACCTGCATTATTCAAATCATTGGACCAATTTTGACCATATTATTACTTCTCTGGGTAGAATTAGCATATAGTAGTGCTAAAGACCAATAAGCAAAATCACGATAAATGTAGAAAATATTGAAGTTGTCAAGGATTTTCTTTTACTTGAATCCACAATCAATGCCCATGGAAGCAGCAGTCAAGAAATCAAATGGTGTATTACACTGGACAAATCTGCTGCAAAAGACCTCTTTAAAGTGTTAAAAAATAACAAGGTCACTTTGAGGACTAAGGTGTTCCTGACCCAAGCCATGGCATTTTCAATGCCTCACGTGCATGTGAAAGCTGGACAACGAATAAAGAATACCGAAAAAGAACTGATGTCTTTGAATTACGGTGTTGCCAAAATATATTGAATATATCATGGACTGCCAGAAGAATGAACAAATCTGTCTTGGAAGAAGTACAGCCAGAATGTTCCTTAGAAAAGACGATGGTAAGACTTCATCTTACGTACTTTGGACACATTATCAGGAGGGACCAGTCCCTGGAGAAGGACATCATGCTTGGTGAAGTACAGGGTCAGCAAAAAAGAGAGATCACAAGGATGGCACAGGACCAGGCAGTGTTTCATTCTGTTGTACGTGGGGTTGCTATGAGTTGGAACCGACACGACACCTGACAACAACAGTGCTAAATTCAACACATAAACAACAATAAACCTGTTGATATTTGTATTAGGATTGCATTAGATTTGTAAATTAAGTCGGGGAGAAACGACATTATCATTTTGTTCCATTTTCTCAAGTCTTCATTTGTGGCCTTCAGGAGTGTTCTGAAGTTTTCTTCATATCAGTCTTGCTCATTTTTAAGTTTACTCCCAAGTGTTTCATCTTTTTCTCCTATCTTTAAACAGCTCACTTTGGGTCCCACGTGCCTCTCTAGCAAGTGTTGATTCTAAACTTTATGTGAAAAAAATAAGCAAACAAGAATAGTCAGAAATACTCTAAGAGAAGAGCTATGAAGGAAGACTAATCCAACCACTTATGAAAATGTATAACGTCCTAATAACTAAGCAGTGTGCCACTAGAATATGCACAATGTGACTGGCCAATGAAGTAGAAAGTCCAAAATCAGACCTAGAAAGACATGGGAATATAACATATGAGAAAGGCAGCATCCGTATTGGTGAGTAAAGGACAGACTATTCTAGAAAAGACACATTTGGAAAAAATAAAGTTGGAATTGCATTTCCTACCATATATCAGGATAAATTCTAAAAAGAGTGTTACAAAATTAAAATCATAAAATTACTAGAATTAAAAATGGGAGAACTTTCTTTAACCTCAAATCATAGAGAAGGGGCTTTCAACTACAACTGAGAATCAGAAACCATAAAAAAAAAAATTGATAAATATCATACCTAAAAATAAAATTCTACACAGCATAAAATGCCGTAAGCAAAGTTAAGAGACCAACAATATATTAGCAAAAAATATTTGCAACTGATATTACAAATGATAGGATAATTTTCCTTATTAGGACAGCAACCCAATAGAAAAACAGGCAAAGTCTATGAACTGGTAGTTTACAGAAGAAAAGAAATACAAATGGTTGTTAAACAAATGAAAAGATACTCAACCTCAGTCTAATCAGATAAATGCAAATCAAAAATACCCTGGACACAACTAACAGATTGGGCATGAATTAAAAAAAAGAAAAAAGTTTGATAACAAACTCTATTGAATAGACTGTGGGGAAATAGATCCTCTCCCATATCAATTACAAAATTATACAACCCCTATGTAAGGCATTTCTGGTAACAGCTATCAAAATTGGAAACCCTGATGGCATAGTGATTAAGAGCTATGGCTGCTAACCAAAAGGTCGGCAGTTTGAATTCATCAGGTGCTCCTTGGAAACGGTATAGGGCAGTTCTATTCTGTCCTACAGAGTCGCTATGAGTCGAAATCGACTCGATGGCAATCGGTTTGGGTTTTTTTTTTTTTTTTTTTTGGTATGTAAGGCATTTCTGGTAATAGTTATCAAAATTAAAATACATAAACCCAGCAATTCCACTCTAGAAATTTATCCTACCATATTCTGTACACGTGCAGAATGACTATACAGAGTTACTTATTGTAGCTTTGTTAGTAAAAGTAAATAATGGAGAACTACATAAATGCCTATCAGTAGCAGACAGGTAAATAAATCATGGCAAGTCCATATAATAGAGTACTATGCACTGCTGAGGAGGCTGTATATATACTGATAAGGAAACATCACCAAGACATATTGTCAGGTGAAAAATGCAAGGTGAAGAGCAGTGTATATATAGTGTACTATTTCTGTAAAAGAAGACAAAAAATATTCATATTTGTTTCTAGAAGCATTAACTATGGTAGTTTCGTATTTGGGTAGTGTATGGATTGAATAATTTCCCCCAAAAAAATGTGTGTATCAACTTGGCCGGGCCATGATTCTCAGTATTGTGTGGTTGTCCTCCATTTTGTGATTGTAATTTTATGTTACAGAGGATTAGGGTGGGATTATATAACACCCTTACTAAGGTCACATCCCTGATCCAATATAAAGGGAGTTTCCCAAGGGTGTGGCCTGCATCACCTTTTATCTTACAAGAGATAAAACGAAACGGAAGAAAGCAGAGAATTGGGAAACTCATACCACCAAGAAAGCAGTGCAGGGAGTGGAGCGCGCTCTTTGGACCTGAGGTTCCTGTGCAGAGAGGCTCCCAAACCAAGGGAAGACTGATGCATCACAAGGACTTTCTCTAGAGCCAACAGAGAAAGAAAGCCTTCCTCTGGAGCCGATGCCTTGAATTTGGACTTGTAGTCTACTAGACTGCGAAAGAATAAATTTCTCTTTGTTAAAGCTATCCGCTTGTGGTATTTCTGTTATAGCAGCACTAGACGACTAAGACAGGTAGGAAAGTAGAAACTAGATGACTGGGCAGCAAGGGTGGAAGACTTTTTCACTGTACATAATTTTATACTTTGCACTGTGTATAATTTTACACTTTTACATTACTGAATCATGTGAATGTGTTGCCTATTAATGGCAAGTACCTATTTATATGAATTTATTACTTGCTCAAAAGTTAGTAAAATGAATATTTACGTTAATAATTTAAAACGGAAAACAGTATTTTTCTTTACATTAATAATGTAACTATAAACAGAACTGCAGGAGGAAGTTGTGGCAGTCTGCTTCCGTAAAGATTTACAGCCTTAGAAACCCTGTAAGGTGGTTCTACCCTGTCCTTTAGGGTCGTTATGAGTCTGAATGGACTCGAGGGCAGCACACAGTGGGTAGTATAAACATAAGTATGCTGAAACAAACAAAAGAATGTGAGTACAGTCCAGCTAGATATTGTTCCTCCCATTAAAAACACCTAAATAAGACCTTCTCCTTGAGGTCATTAGAAAGACTGAAAGAGAATAAAAAAGGGAGTAACTTTTTACTTTTAAATTCAATGTTACAACATGTCATTGCCAAGTTCCACCTAACATTATCTGGCAAACCCTAAGCAGCATAGTTGTTTGCCTTCTATGGTTTTAGATGTGAGAACCACTGCGAAGGAAAAATGGACATGACTGATAAATGACTAAATGTGGGGATACAAGTGAGGGAGCATATTATGACTCTGAAGCTTTGAGTGCTTTACGAAATACTTAGAAGCATTCACATAAACGAGTAAACCAAGGAGAAAATACAATATGTACAGGAGAGTATGAATTCAACAAGGCAATTTCTAGGTAGAAATAATCAGTAGACATTAGGCAAATAGAACTGGAATTAGAGGCACAAAAGATAAGTACTGAAATATAGATATGAAATATCATATGAAGTTAACAGCTCTTCCTATGAAAAGGAAGTGAGCTCTATGGAGAAAACAAAGATTAAAAAAAAAAGAGGTTCAAGGATACAACTTTCAGGAAACATCCAAAGAAGATTTAAAAAAAATAAAACAATAACCAACAAGATGGAACAGGTCACAAAGATAAGATTCCAGATAGCATGGTTCCAAAGAATGGTAGAATTTTAAGAACGAATAGTTAGAATGGGAACTGCAACAAGAAAAAGTGTGTGTGTGTCTGAGTTTAGAATTTAGCTGAGAGACAGTCTGACTGTGGCTGAGAGGATTAATTAGGGTGAAAGCCTGTGGGAGGGACAGGATGTAGGCTCTCAGGTAACTTTTATCAACACCTAGCATATTGCTTATCTAAGAAAAGGCTCACTGTTCAATAGTTGATTAGCCTGACAAATGACCAATATAAAAGATAAATGAGATCTGTAAAGATATAAAACACAGTGCATTAAAAAATAATACCTACCAGCCATCTTTCATACTCATCAAGTGCTTGCTTATCTTTATCTATTTTCTCTGCTCTTTTCAGTTCTTCCCTTTTTTTCTCATTTATTTTCACTTTTTCCATTTGTTTGAAAAATGCTTCCTTTTTTTCATTCCTATGTAGGATAGTATAAAACACTGGAAAGTTATAAAATATAAAGAGTCCCTAAATAATCTTTGGCAATAATGAGATTAAGATGCATTAGTAAGCTTCAAGTAAACAAGCTCTAGTTAAGTCTAAACTGTTATTAGTTTAAAATCTATCAAAATATTTATCATTTTGGATTACCATTTTTCAACTGCAGTTAAGTTATCTTTCCTTTTCTCAGCAACAGTTTCCTCTTCTTGCTGCTTCTTTGCTCTTTCACATTCTTTCTCCTTTTTACTTTTTTCTTTAAGATACTCCATCTTTCTCTCCTTCCATTTCTCAAAAGCCTAAAAAATTCAGAATGGTTTTCTTATTTACTGACATAAATCTTCCATTTTACTTATAATACTCACTATAAAGGACAAAAATACGGTTGATCACTAATACAGATTTTAGAAGTTTAGAAATAATTCTTAAGAAAGATATTCAAAACTCCTGAATACTTGTAGTGCTTCTCCTTTCTTCACGGCATTTTCCTCTTCAGTTTTCTTCTTGTTTTTCTCCTCAAGCCTCTTTTTTGCAGCTATTTTCTTTGCTTCCTTTTCTTTCATAGCCTTCCAAGCCTGAAATGATGCTAATGCTTCTTCTCTCTTAGCAGCTCTTTTCTACTTTGGAAAAATAATAGGCATATATGTATGTGTATATAAGTATACATACACATACAGAGATAGACAATAAAGACATCGTGTACGTATTTATCTTTAATCATCTTGACATTCATCATTATCAGAAATTGTTTCAAAACAAATAGTTTATTTAGAATGATTTAGACAAGGTGATTTATAAAACAGGTCATCTGAATTATCCACTGTATTTTAAAGTGCATTTCTGAAAAGCATTTATCAGTTATTGGTCTACTACATTAGCAAGAAGGAAATCAACTATTTCTTGTTTACGAGTGTACTAAGCAGATGTTATAAAAATAAACTGTAATAAGATGAGTGGTACTATAAAATGTTCCATAATAAAATATTTAGGTAAAAGAAAAACATCAGGAAAGTTATACGCATATAACTATAAAGTAAGTTAAAGTAAGCTAAACTGGCCAAATTCACACAGCTAGTGCAGATCTTTCACTTGAACTCTAGTACTGCCTAACATCAAAGTATCAGACTTACTACTCATAAATATTCCAAATGTTTGAAGTATGTTCACCACAAAGGAAAATATGCAGGTTACTGGATAGCAAGTATGCTGTTTTCCTTACTTCAATATCTAATCCCATAAAATTCTCTATTTGCTATAGAATATTGTTTAACAACAAATGACACAAAACATTATGGAGATAAACCAGTCTAGAAGTACTACCTCCCGCACAGAGTTATGAAGGGTAAACCAGAAGACAGAGAGCTCTGATCAGAGCAGGGTAATGCTATAAACGTGGTACAGATATGCAGGCACATCCCATGTGGGGCTGTCGCACACAGTACTGACTCACAGTGCTGTTCGTTTTGGGAATGTTTCTTTCTATTTTGGCACTGAACAGAACAATGAATATTTTTTCCATGGGAAAGGGTATGGGATCAAGAGCACAGGTTGGGGTTGATCTTAAAGGTAAAGATAAAATTCATAACAGAAAAGAGGAAAACTGAAAGCTGATGTCTTAGTAGCTTTTATATTCTTGGTCAAGTTGTAGATGAGGTCAAGTTTTAAGAGTGAAGCTGTGACACATGATATTTGAAATAGCTGCAACTGGGAACAGAAACAACATCAAGAACTCAAATTCACTGAGTGCTTCCTATGTGCCAGTCATATAATCTATACGCTACACGTGCATTTCTTAGTTCACATAATCCTCACAACAACCTATCCAAAAATAAAAAACCAAACCCGTTGCCACTGAGTCAATTCTGACTCATAGCAACTATACAGGACAGAGTAGAACTGCCCCACAGAGCTTCCAAGGAGCGTCTGGTGGATTCGAACTGCCATCCTCTTGGTTAGCAGCCGTAGCTCTTAACCACTACTCCACCAGGGTTTCCAACAACCCTACAGATAGGTACTATATTATTTTTTTCACAGATGATGAATTTGAGAAATAAACGTTAAATAACTTGCCCATAGTCAGGTCATAGACTAAAAAGTGAGTTAAAAAAAAAAATTTCCAGAGCAGCACTGTATTCTCAGATGTGGACTGATATGATAATTTGGGGGCAAAGGAAATTGGTATGGTTGATCAGAGCACCCCACCTCCTACCCTAGTTTTGCTCGGCAGTCCTAAATCAAACAGAGAGAAAAAGCATCAGGGGCAGAAAAATGGTTGTTTGGAAAGTGTGGTATTAGTGCAGAAAGTGATTTAACTTGAGAAAGTTTGTAAAAGCATACATGAAGTGATTAATAATGACATTAAGAGTTGATAAGGAGAACAGTAAAGCCACACAGTTGACGGATGATAAAGCAGAAAGAGTTAAAGAGATGGAAGTCATGATGCTAGTTAATAAGCCAGCACTCTCCTGAACAATCCAGCTGGTTTAAACTGATCCTAGGAAGCCCAAAGCAAATTCATAGCCGTTTCAGGTTTTTGCTTCTAAGTGTTTTGGCCAATGCGGAGCATGCTGTTACAGTTTATATTAGCACATGCATCTCATCCCAGGCTGGCCCCATGTGTAACCCAATCCTTCCAGGGTGGGCCTAAACTTGACTCTAGAGTACACTGATTTCTCCTAGTTTAAAACATTTTTATTTAATTCCTGGAGGTGCCTCAGTATAATAAATGATAGAAAATTAAGATGGCTGGTATGCTACTAAAATAGTAGCTTCATAATCAGTAATGCTAAAGAAAAAATACAAATGTCTGTATTTTATGTAAAAAAAAAAAAAAACTATATATCAAACTAAAAATTTATAAAGTAACAGAGAAATAAAAATCAGAAACCAATTCTTTTACATACAAGTTATTCTGCCATATAAAAATAGTTGATTTAGAAATATTAAATATTCATAGGTATTTTACTGACATAAAAGTTCACAATATCTTTTACTTCTATATTTCATAATACCTGTTCATTTTGGATCCGTAAGTTTTCACTTTCAATCCTTTTAATTCTGTGCGTTTCATGTAAATACATATTTTTCTTTTCTAACCAGTCCTGTGGGAACAAGAAAAGCATTATGATATTCAATGTTTCCTAAATGAATTTGAATTCTTATCTATTTTTTTCAAATATCTGATTAAAACTTTAAAAAAGAAAAACAAAGAATTTATAAATTCTAAATAAATCAGTATAATTTCTCTTTTTCTGATAATATTCTAAACATATAAAGATGAGTGCTAATTAAGAAAATTAAATGTATGTTATTCTGTTAGTATTAACAACAGACTCCAAAAGTTGCATGCAATGGTTAAATACATTAACAACTTTTCTATGAATCTCATATAACATTTTCTAAAATGTAATATTCTATATAGAAAAAAATACCAAAATATGCCCTTTTTTTGGGGGGAGGTAGATTATAAAAAGATTAGTAAAATCCTTTTCTGTATAAGCCCAAATAAAATACAAAGTCTTAGGAAAAGAAAATTTCACAAACTTTTTTTTCATAATAATATAAACTTTAAGGAGAAAAGATACCTGTAGACTTTGTAACATTTTTTGTTTTTATAAATTACAGTGACATATTTTCTTTCTTTAAAAATATCGATAATCTCATTTACAACAAATGAGGAAGTAAATACATAAGTAAAAAAGGCTTTGGATTGTTCATGTATTACAGTGGAAGATCCTTCTCCAATAAAATTAAGAATTAACCATCATTACTGATAGCATTACTTTATTCTGTGGTAAACCGGTAGTCTTACGTAAGTTATTAGTTATTCCGCTTTTCCTTCTTTAAATATGTTCATTTCTACCTGATAAACAGCTGCCCTTATATCATCTGCTTTGTCAGGCTCTATTCTCTGTTTCTGTGACGGCTTTTGGTCCAAGACTTTCAAAGTCCCTAAACAGTGAGAAGAGGTAGTTGTCGATTGAGTTTTCCTTATAGAACCGGGTTTCTTTAAAAATGCAGAGGTCATTAATCTGAAAACATCCAAGTAAATAAAGACCAAACATTACAACTGCATTCTGTAGAACAGAGACCCACTAGAATTTGCAACTGCTACATTTGGAAAATTACATTATAATTTAACATAATTATCTTAAAAATGGTATAAAGAGTACAGTCTTTTCTTAGGATACAAAGAGTCCCTACTCAACATCATTTAAATTATGTGCCTTTAAGTTATATAGCTTTAAAGTGATTATTCTTTTTAAATACTTGCAATAAGAACATTTTTTAAAAACATGGATATTACATCTCAAGGTAACTGGAAAAGCAATATTAATAAAGTAAAGCAAGTTAACTGGAAAAGTAAAATTAATGAAGTTTAATCATTCTTTTAATAATCATGTTGCATTTTGTTACATGAGCAATTCTAAATATAAAGCTGGAAAGAAGAGCAGCCTCTATTTCAGAGGTCAATGGGAAAATCTGGCCCTACATCTGTTTTTATAAATAAAGTTATACTGCAACATAGCCATTCATTTACATATTGTCAATGGCTGCTTTCCTACAATGGCAGAGTTCAGTAGTTACAACAGAGACTGCATGGCCCAAAACCCATACAGTAATATCTGACCCTGAACAGAAAATTTGCCAACCCTGCTCTACTTGATTAAAGATAATTTGATTAATGAAAATTTAAAAAATTCAGAAGGTTTTGATTAGCATTTATTTATGAGTTCGGCATACATTATCACCAGTGTAGATAAAGCTACCAATTGTTATCATAAACAAAAGCAGTCCATCGAACCTGAAGGCTTTGAGTATATTTTCTCCCCACTCTTCAGACAAAGATTAGACTGGACTATAAAACAAAAAGTAATACTCGTGAGGAGTGTGCTTCTTAGTTCAATCAGCTACTTGAGACCAAATGGGCAGCTCCTGTCCAGAGGCAGGATGCAAAGGTAAGAAGGGACAGGAATTGGTTGAATGGACACAAGAAACCCAGGTGGACACGGGGAGTGTGCTGTCACATTGTAGAGATTGCAACTAATGTCACATAACAATATGTGGATAAATTTTTGTATGAGAAATTAATTTGAGCTATAAACTTTCACCTAAAGCACCATAAAATAAAAACGTACATTTTCTCATGTACTTATAAGAAGCATAATGCTGAACTTAAGCTTTATTACTTTATCTATAGTACCAAGAAAAACGGGAGAAAGGAGCTCGTTCCAAGAGCAGTGTACAGTATGGGGAATCCCTAATCATTGACGTTAGGGAAGAAGGAAAATGTTCCTGAAGAACAAAGATTCTGGAGATCAAAAGGTACACATAAACATTCCATGCATTTAAACAAACAACCAGTTATAGACTTAACCATTTTATTAATTCCTTCTTTATAAAAAAAAAATATGCAATTGAGAGGTTTTATCCTAACTATCTCATTAATCTCATGAGATGGAAATGATAAAAAAAACCAAACACCACCTGTTACGGATTGCATTGTGTCCCCCAAAGAATGTGTATCAATTTCGCTAGGCCGTGATTCTCAGTACTGTGTGATTGTCTACCATTTTGTCATCTGATGTGATTTTCCTATGTGTTGTAAATCCTACCTCTATGATATTAATGAGGCAGGATAAGAGGCAGTTACGTTGATGAGACAGGACTCAATCTACAAGATTAGACTGTGTCTTCTTTAAGTCATTCTCTTTTGAGATATAAAAGAGAGAAGCAAGCAGAGAGACATGGGGACCTCATACCACCAAGAAAGCAGCACTAGGAGTACAGCGAGCGAGTCTTTTGGATCCGGGGTCCCTGTGCCTGAGAAGCTCCTAGAACAGGGGAAGGTTGATGACAAGGACCTTCCTCCAGAGCCGACAAAGAGAGAAAGCGTGGAGCTGGCACCCTGAATTTGGACTCCTAGCCTACTAGACTGTGAGAGAATAAATTTCTCTTTGTTAAAGCCATCCACTTGTAGTATTTCTGTTAGAGCAGTACTAGATAACTAAGACACCAACAAATGGAATTTCCTTCACAAAAGTTAAATTTACAACCAGTTTTACTAAAATGAAAACACAAATGAGAGACAGTGATAACGTGATTACCTGCCAGATGCACTGGATGCTCTGTTATTTGTTGAGTTTTTATTCTTTATATTTCTACCTTCAATTGCTTTCTATTAAACAGAGAAAGTCATAGGTGGATCATTCATAATTATTATTACAGGTTTAGAGGCCAGACTGTCAGTTAACCAATATTTTTTAAGCATTTAATACAGATTAATCACAGTAGACACCAGGAAAAAAAAATCAGTGAATAAAATGCCCTGAAAGATAATAAATTTTACAGAAGATCAACAGGTAATAAACACAAACAAATGTGACCCATGAGGGAAATAAACTAGGGCACAGGAACAGAGTGTGGAGTGGGGTTTGAGGACTGCTTAAATGAGCGTGATCAGAGAAGGGTCGATGAGGGCCTGACTTAGCTGAGACGCAATGAGGCACAGAAAGGAGCTGTATGGAAGTCTGCAGAAAGAAAGAGCCTGAGAAGGGAAAGTGCTTGATACTTTCAGAGAAAGAGAAAAAGGTCAGTGGTACTGAAGGAGTGTAAATGTGGAGGAGAGGGGAAAAATACGTGGTCAGAAAAGAATCAGATCAGATCTTTAGGCAAGGGTCAGGTGTTTGGATTTTATTGTTGTGATGAGAAACCAAAACAGAGACTTTAGCAGGGGAATGACTAGATTCAGACTTAAAAAAAAAGATCACTCAGTAGAAAGTGAGAATAAAGCCAAAGAACTAGTCAAAAGAAAAGTTTGATGTTCTCGTTTGTTATAACATACCTGCTCAAAATTTACAATTATCTCTTCCAGAGATTTCTAAAGTAATCTTCTTTTAAGAACACCTTCCTACAAGAACTTTTAAGACATTCCCACAACATTTTCACTTTACAGGGACAGGTGGGCACTGGTATTAAGGTGAGAAAACAGATGTAAACACATTCCTAACTTGGTAGTAGTTTTTTTTCCTAAGGAAAGCAGCTAAGGATGATACACACAGAACATGTTTTAATGACCCTTCTCTATAAACTTTAACATAACGCTGAAATTTTGCATTATAAAAGTCCTGCTCAACCACGTTTTCGGCTAGCACTGCTGTCTTCCCCTAATAATGAATACACATAGCTGCTAGCTAACTGCAGGTATAAGAGATAAAGACTAAAGTCAAGAGAGATAAATATTAAAAATATATATATACCATAAATTTTTAAAGTATTGTATTCTGGGACAATTGAGTGTAGGGTCAAGTAATCCCACATACCATAAACCTAGTTTTCAAGACATTATTATTATACAAGATCGTAACAATTACCTGATTATGATGATGAACCCATTCATCTATTTTAAAAAGTATATGTATTTTGATGTTTATTAAAGATTTTTATTAAAGTTGTTAAAATGCTGTAAAATGGTATCCCAAAGAATAACTGTCACTAACTAAAAACCTTAGAAATTGTTCCACATATCTGCATTTTTATAGTATGGAGACCTATAGAAACCTAAACACTTACAGGAAAGTATTCCTAAAATATATTATGATAACATACCTCTGATAATTTTTAATGAAACATTAAAAACCCGTTGCCATCAAGTTGATTCCGACTCAATAGTGACCCTATAGGATAGAGCAGAACCGACCCATAGGGTTTCCAAGGAGCGGCTGGTGAATTCAAACTGCCAACTTTTTGGTTAGCAGCTGAGCTCTTAACCACTGTGCCACCAGGGATGGTTCCACTATATTCACTCCAAACCTTTCCTGATGTTAAAATTCTATTCAGTTATGTAAAAAGCATCTGACAATGTAATACCACTATCAGACGATGGATTTTCCACAGGTAATTTAGACATACATAAAATGGAAGATAAAACATTTAAAAGTTCTATTTCAAGTTTTAAGCTGTATAATAAAAGGCATAAATTTATATAAATACCTTTGCAGATTCAGTTGCACTGCTGGATATCAAGACACTGTGAGATTTAAATAGCAGTGGATCACCTGTTTGGTCATCATCCATCATCAGCTCAGCTTTCTCCTTTTCTCCTTCAAGGGCATCAGCAGTCACTTGGCTTTGCTTGGGTTTCTCAAGTGCAGCAGGAACAAAGTCTATCAAAAATGAATTCTCTTCATTTTCTTTTGATTTTAATGAATCATGGTTTTCACTGAATTCTTCATTCTGATCTATTTTGAGATAGAGTAACAACATTAAAATTCCCTTCTGATTTAATCAGATAACAAATTCACCTGTTTTCCTTTCCATGAGGACTATCTATAATCCATTTTGTCTTGCACAATAAGACATAAAGAAAACAATCATGTTAAACTTCAATTTTTTTCACATGTGATCTACAAGAGAAAATGGCTACAGTTAATCTACTGAAACATCTGACACATCTAATACTTGGAAAAAAATAGCATCTTAACAAATAGAATGTAGTAACTATCCAAAAACAAAGATGCATCAGAAGACCTTGTTGATGTATAAACCAAGTATGTACAGTGGTAAAATCTGTTCTATATAAAGCCTTGTTTCTTAGCTGGAACAACAAGCAGTATAAGTAGGAGGCATACCATCTTTATGCTACTTCAGTTACTAGCAGTGCAGTTATAGAATTGTACAGATGCAAAGAATTAATGCAATTGTAGAAGGGGGCTGCCCCCAGGGAAAGAAGCTAGCTTCCAAGAAGTTTCATCCCCACACATGATGCAGTGCTGCCTCCTGTACCTAAAGGGGCAGCAAGAGCAAGCCCGTTACTTACCCTCTCAGTGCTCCAAGGCCTGGCATGAAAAGAGACTTAGTTTTACTTCTACAGAATTGCTTCTATTATTCTGACTATCACTCTTTGTAATGCTCAACAGAAATAAAACTGTTTTCTGTAGGGATCGCCAACTTTTAATTCTACTAGGATCCACCTCTTGGCCAAGCCTGTATATTCACTGATAAATATTTCAATTCCATTGCTTTCATTACAGGCATTTTGTTTGAACTCTCTCTGAGGTAAGCTAGATTTAAAATAACTCTTTTATTATAATTATACATTCACATCTTAGAGAATACTCATGACTCAAAATATTATTAGATTCCTGAGTGCTGTTAATAATCTATTCAGTAAAAAGAACAAGGACTTTGGAGCCAAAGACTCAAATTGTGGCTCTACCACTGACCTTGAGTATGTTTCCCAAAATCTCTGCACTTCACTTTTTCTCATCTGCAAAATGACAAAAGTTATACTACATAGTAAGCACTTAATAAATGTTAGTGACACACCCTGGTTTTAGAAACAGCTATGCCTTTCACTTCTCAATAAGCTACAAGTCATAGCTCTAAGGAAAAGAAAAATGTTAACCACTCAGCCCTGACACTACGTGCTTACTACGGTGCTGTTTTCAACACTTCACACGTATTAACCCATTTAGTTCTCACAACAATCTGTAAGGTAGGTTACTCTTACTATCCCCAATTTAAAGGTTAATATACAAATTCAGAGAAGTTAATTATTTTGCTCATGTAGTTGTGTGTTGATTCAAATCCAGCTTAGTCTCACTCTAAATGTCTACCTAACCATTCTGTTGTACAATAGACTGCTACATTAACCCGTACCAAAAACCAAACCAAAACCACCGTCATCAAGTCGACTGCAACTCATAGCAACACTACAGGACAGAGTAGAACTGCCCCATAGCATTTTCAAGAGCAGCTGGTGAATTCGAACTCCCAACCTTTTGGTTAGCAGCCGAACTTTAACTACTGTGCCACCAGAGCTCCGCATTAACCCATACATACTAATAATTTGGAGCACTGGTGGCACAGCAGTTAAAGCACTAGGCTGCTAAACGAAAGGTCGGCAGTTTGAACCCACCAGCCATTCCATGGGAGAAAGATGTGGCAATCTGCTTCCATAAAGATTTGCAGCCTTGGAAACCCTATGGGGCAGTTCTACTCTGTCTTTTAAGATTGCTATGAGTTGGGACCAACTCAACAGCAACGGATTTTTGGTTTGGTTTTGGTCAGTAATAGTTCACATTTAGCGATCGCTCAATTTGTGTCACGAGCTGGGTTAATGGCTAAAATGCAATGTGTCACTTAATTTTCACAACAGCCTTATAAGGTAGTAGTAGTTGCTGCTGTTGTTATGAATTGGGGAAATTGAGGCACTGAGAGATTAAGTACTGTATCTAAAATCACATGATTAGTAAACTGTAATCAGGATTAAAACTCAGGCAAACACATATATTTTGCCTGTAATTATGCAGAGTATTATTTCTTTTACAAATACGATCTTAAGCAACAGTCTTCACAAATAAAATATGATACAATAATTAGACATAACCACCTGTAATGGATGTTTTTTCCCCAGATCCTGGTGAAAAAAAATCTCCAAGACTTTCTTTAAAGGATGATGACGATGGAGTTGTTAACAATAGACCCTATTTAAAATAAAACGTGAGTTTAATTTTCAAGATTTGTGGAGGCAGTAACATTATTAAGGCCATTTCATAACTCTGAAACCTACACTAGTAGGCGTCTGCTTCTGAAACACCAAAACTATTAAGCCAATGGCGGCTAATATACTTTCCTTTAAAGCCCTGATGTCTCCGTCATTAAGAGTCACTAAAAGACCTACTGTAGTTCTTTATCTAACTGCTACCTTTGCATTTGTTTTTAGAAATTTTCAAAACTCTCACTGCTCTAAAATGAAATATCTTACAAACATTTAAGGCAAAGATTTGACATCTTCTCTAATTCTCCTTCCTAGAAAGCATCAAGAAGACAGTTGGTAAAAACATTTATTTCAAACAAATATTACTAGTTGTTCAAATGAGGACAATTTATAAAAGCAAGTAGACAGCTAATTCCAAGTATTTTAGGATAAAAACAATACAAAGATTTCATGCTCCTGAGTTTTTCTGAAAATTCTGAGCATTATATCTGAAAAAATTATATTTGTATGTCTAGATAAGCATCTCTTTATACAATAATAATCTAGTCCAAAGGTGTTAATATAGTGTAAGAAGTTTAATTTTGTATACATAATACATTTTAATTTTTTTTCCCATAATATTTTATGAATGTAAAGAGAATTATATGTCAAAAGGAAGGGATAGAAATCATCCAGGAAAATGGTAGAAAGGCTGAAACACTGGAGTCTACCTTGAGAGACAAAAGCTTCACGTGGGGACATGTGGAGTTAGTATCTTTTTGCCTGATAGTGTTCCTCAATCTGCGTAGCTCAAAGTGGTAGAAGGCTGCAGTCTTACTGGACTGGATTAAGGGGTTAAAAGATAGCGACATGAACCCTTAAATATGCATACAAAATTCACCCAAACCCTTGGATTATCTGTGCATGGCTCGGGGAAGACCTTAGAGGGTCTTGTGAAACTGCAGCAGCTAGAAACTAAAATAACTAAGAGGAGATTTTAGCTGATACCTATCACAGGAAAGACAGAGTTGAGAATTTGAGTCTAGCCAAGATATATACCTGCTAAAAAACATGTTCAGCGGAACATAACAGAATCTCTATAACATATAATTCATAATATCCAGTATACAATCAACAATCAGTAAATATGTGAAGAAACAGAAAATGGCAACACATATTCATGAAAAACAAAAAAAAGGAGTCAGGCAGAAATAACTCAGAGACGACCTAGATGTTGCAATTAGTAAACAAGAACTTTGAAGCAGCTATTATAAATATGCTCACTTAGATGAAAATATACGCATGATGAATAAACAGACGAGAGATCTCATCAGAGATATAAAAAAGTCCCAGTGGAAATTCCAGAGTTGAGCCCTACAATAACTGAAATAAAAAACTAACTGGACAGGCTTAATATCAGATCAGAGATGACAGAAAAAGTCAGTGAACCTGAAGATAGAGCAATACAAAGTATTCGGTCTGAGAAACAGGGAATAAAAAGGATTGAAGACATATGAAGAGAACCTCAGGGACCAGTGAGACGTATAAAAAATCCAATGAATGTGCAATTGGAGTTCCAAAAAGAAAAGGAAAAAAAATGTAAAAGGTAGCTTATAACTACTGAAAGCCCAATGAACTCCAAGTAGGATCAATACAAAGAAAAACAGACATAGGCTCCTCAATCTGCTGCAATTCAAAGAAAAAAAAGACAAAAACCTTGAAAAACTTTCTTAAAAGCATTCAGAAAAAAATACATTACAACAAAATGAATGACTGCCACGTTCTCAACAGAAACGAGAGGCCAGAAACAATGAAAACCTATAGAGAACAGGTGGTGGGTAAGAGAACTGTCAGCCTAGAAATATATATTCAGCTAAACCATCCTTCAAAAACGAAGATAAAATAATCATTTTTGAGATAAATACAAACTGAGAGACTCCATCACTGGTAAACCTGTATTACAAGAACTGGAAAAATAAGTTCCTAAGGCTGAAGGCAAATGACACCAGATGATATCCCGGGGCTACAGGAAAGAATGGAGATGTCCAGAAACTGTAAGTATGTTTAAGAAAACCAAAAATATTTATTCTCTTCTTCTTTTAATTTCTTTAAAAGTCTATGACAAAGAGTTTAAAAGGCTCTTTAAAGAAAAGCTTTAACACTGCATTATGGGGATTATATCACATTATGGGGATTATATCATATGTAGATGTAATATACATGACAACAATACCACAACGATGAGGGAGTATATGGAACTACAGTGCTGCAAGGTTTCCATATTAAACATGAAATAATGCAATATCAACTCTCACTAGATTGTGATAATTTATAGACGCACATTGTCATTCTCAGAGCAATCACAAAAAAAATAATGCAAACAGGTTTAGCTAAAAAGGCAACAGAGAAATCACAAGGGAAAACTAAAAAAAACACAACTAATTCTCCAAAAAAAAAAGGCAAGAAAGGAGGAACAGAGAAACAAAAATACACATAAAATAGAAAACAAACAGCAAAGTGCTGGCCCTAAATCCAACTATATTAGCGCTTACCTTAAAAGTAAAATGAAACTATAAATCAATAACAAAAGTATGCTAGAGAAGCCCTAAATACTTAGAAATAAAATCATATACTACAAAATAACCAACTGGTCAAATAAGATATCACAAGGGAAATTAGAAAATATATTTAAAGAAATGATAATAAAAATAAAACGTATGAAAAAATTCTGGAGGCAGGGCCAAGATGGCAGAGTAGTCAGACACTTCCAGTGGTCCCTGTTACAACAAAGACCCAAAAAAACCAAGTGAATCAATTTTATACGACAATCTAGGAGCCGTGAACATCAAAGGTAAAGTTGAGGAATCAGACCGAGTGATGAGGGAGAGAGAGAGGCGATCGTTCAGAAGCAGCGAGGAGCTGCCAGATCTGATCCAGCAGAAACAGGCACTCTGCAGGCAAGCAGTGGCGTTCGGGATGTATTTTCCACACCGCAAGAGACCAAGTGGCGGAGAGTCTACCTAAGCCTCCAGAACAAGTGAAAAGCAGTGCTCAATCAGCAAAAGATAAGTCCGTGCATCTAATGTATCTCGCGGATCAAAAAACACTGCATTTGGGAAGAACTTCTCTCCCTGCTCTGTACTGGGTCCTGGACCAGCTTCAGCAATTGCCACTTCCTCTGGGCCGGAAGCAGGACATGTCATGCGCCCTGAGCCATTCTGACAGCCTTGGAGAGGGAACAAATTAACAAACAGGAAAAAATAATCTGCCAGCTCCCCTAAGCCAGGAACTCAAAGCAGGCACAGCTTCCTTCCCTAAGCACAGGCATAAAGGGTCCACAGACTCTGAATGCCTTTCACCCCTGCACAAACCTGTGTGGGCCAATTTCAACAGCGTAGGCCCTCATTAGCACAGTACAACAGGGTATATACCTGAAGCCTAACTTCACTATATCAGTTACATGGTGGAATGGCTGGTTCGTGACATTTGACACTACTCTGCCCATTAAGCAGGGTCCTCATCTACCCACATCAAGGGCCTGAGGACTGGTGGCTCCACCCACTCCACCTAGTCACCTGTGACAGGGGTCCAAGAATAAGCGGAGCCTCCCAGTCCTTACAGCCAACAGCACTGGGTGTCTACAGTCCAGCTGCAAAACATACCCACCTACGTGCTCTAGGCAACACAGACATGCTTTCCTCCCAGACACTCAGGGGCAGCCGTCGGCCCCCTGCCTTGCTTAGCGCGTGACCCCCTACTGCAGCCAGATACCTGAGCCTACTCCAATCACCCCTGCCTGTCTAGGACTGTAGGTGAGAGCCTGCACCACACACTTGGTGACTGACTATCTGGACACCTGAGCTGAATCCATCCAAGAAAGTTAACAGACTCCTGGGCTCACATACCTAGTAATAAATCTAACCACCTGGTGACAGGACGTTAAAGCTTCAAAGACACCAATAATCAAACTAGCTCACACGAGCAGCCTATCTGGGCATATCAAAACAAAACAAAACAAGAAGCTAGGATACAGTAAGCAAACATTAAATAAATAAATATAATAACTTATTGATGGCTCGAAGACAATGTTAAATCACATAAAGAGGCAGACCATGATGGCTTCAGCAAGCTCCCAAAACAAAGAAGCAAGAAATCGTCCAATGAAGAGAACCTCTTGGAATAACCAGGCATAAAATACAAAAGATTAATATACAGAGCTCTTCAAGAGACCCAGAAAGAGATTAGGCAAAACACAGAACAAAACAAGGAAAACACACACAAACCAATAAAGGAAATTAAGATTACAGAAGAGCATAATGATGAATTTAATAGGCTGCAAGAATCAATAGAGACAGCAAATAGAAATCCAGAAAATAAAGAATAAAATTTAAGAATTAGACAACTCAGTAGAAAGTCACAGGTGCAGAAATCAGGCAATGGAAGTCAGAATTAGTGAGACTGAAGATAAAGCACTTGACACCAACTTATTTAAGGAAAAATCAGAAATAAGAATTTTAAAAATTGAAGTAACTCTAGGAATTATGTGGGACTCTATCAAGAGAAACAAACTATGAGTGACTAGAGTACCAGAATGGGGGAGGGGGGAGATAACAGAAAATACCCGGAGAATTGTTGAAGATTTGTTAGCAGAACACTTCCCTGATATCGTGAAAGATGTGAAGATACCAATCCAAGATGCTCATCAAACTCCACAAAAGATAAATCCAAAAAGAAAGTCACCAAGACGTATTATAATCAAACTTGACAAACCCAAAGATAAAGAGAGAATTTTAAGAGCGGCAAGGGATAAAATAAAAGTCATCTGCAAAGGAGGGTCAATAAGATTAAACTCAGACTACTCAGCAGAAACCATGCAAGCAAGAAGGCAATGGGATGACATATAGAAAGTCTTGAAGAAAAAAAAATTGCCAGCCAACAATTATATATCCAGCAAAACTGTCCCTCAAATATGATGGTGAAATTAGGGCATTTCCAGATAAACAGAAC